ATATATCAATTGCCTTACTAATTATATTTTGAAATGTATTAAAACACTCATTAACATTAGTTTTATTGTATATTACAGACCATTTCTCTGTTTGTAATAAGCATTTAATTTTATTATGATCAATCATAGAAACCGTATTATTTTTAGTTTTTAAAGTACCTATTGATTATTGTTATAGAAACACAGATGGAAAAGTGGTCACTTATATCCGTTTGCATACACCAGAATTTACTAATTTAATTATGTGCTCATTAATGTTAATAAATATATGATCCAAACATGCGTGTTTACGACCAATAGGAAATCTGGTATTAATGTTTATAAATGACGCAAAACCACTCACAGATAATAAATCTAGGTTTTGAATTCTAGTTTTTACTGTTGGGTTTGATAATTTTCCCAGTAGCACTAAATTGAACAAATATTTAAACGGTAATAAGTCGCAAACGGATTACTGAAATTAAATTCTGTAAACGTTAAAATTATTATTTTCAGTATGTTTTTTTGTTATCGAAAATAGGTATTGCCATTTGAAAATCGAAAGTTGATAGTGTCTTATCAAATAAGGGAGGAAGTTAAAATTATCAAAATTATAACAGTGTAAAATAGTAAAACCTAGAAAGTTTAAAAAAAAATTATTTCAAAATTCCTAATACTTCCCGAGATATTAACTGGTTCACGATAAAAAAAATCACTCTGTACATCGGAGGAAAAATTGTTCACAATCTGTTCTAGTTGGAAAAACGTTAAATATTTTTATTTTTTTATTTATTTTTTTTTTAAAGCGAATGGTTCGCGATCACTATATAATTCGTTTAATACTATATCATCGTATATAGCGTATATGGCTAGCTTACACTGCGGTTATGTAGTTTTACCGGCTACTCGTTCAATGTTATTATTGAAAGCTGTTTATTTTCGTGTCAAGAACGTCGTAAAGAAATTTAGGTACGCGTTGCAGATTTGTAAACAATGTGTGTATGAAATCACCATAAGCGTTCTTAAATACGGCTTGGAGCCATCTGGTGAGACGCCGTTTCCGGACGTACCCGTGTGCGACTGTATATGTACATCGAAAAGAGAGTTTGTAATGAGCACCGAAATAATGATGTATTGTAATCATGGTCGTTGCCCAAATTAGTACAAATGATAGGTACCTCTTCGATACACAGCGCCTTTCCTTTAATATAATAATCTGAAAGGGCACACCGATTGAATGATTTTTCAACTGAAAACTATAGAAATTATTTTTCCTGGATTATTTAAGAAATTTAAACTCAGGTTCTCATGTTATTAATTTTATTATATCTGTATTATGTAATGGTCGAGTGATGGCTTGGATCTGGTTTATTTATCGAGCAAGTATATTTTATGTTTCACCAGGAAAATATAATCACGAAGTACAAAATTGATGGTAATTGTTCTCGCCGATCACCGTGTTCGACTTCAGAAGTTTAAAAATACCTTGGTCGTGATGATTTTTTTGAATGAATATGGATTTTAATTTAATATTATCGTATAATGAGCTAAAGAGAGTTTGTGTTTTGTTGAATATAAGTATCAATGTGTTTTAGAAGTGAAATCAACCGGCAACCATGTGGTGGTGCTACATAAATACTCGTACATATTATGCAACGATAACAACTAGTGGTGTAAAAACTTAACATGAAACAATAAACGAAGACAAAATTAATAAATAATTATATTTTATAATTAGTTGCAGGGACTGGAACCTTACCTAAAAGAACCAGTTTTGGAACCGGAACCTTACCGAAACCCTAATTTAAATTAATTTTAAAACCGGAACCCCACCGGAATCTTTATTTGTATTTATTTAAAAATCGAAACCTCACTGGAACCGAAAATTTTTGGAAAATGTCTTTTACGGTTAATTTCAGTATTGTTTTTAATTGCATTATTTTTATTTATATCTGTCATTTATAGGTAGTAAGAACTAATGAAATACGTAGATCTATTATTATTATTATTATCGAGATTAATAATATTCATAAATAATCATGCAAGTACTTTAGAGTTTAGACATGTTATTAAACTATAAAAGTATACAATAATTCTATGTAACAACTGATAATAATGTAATACTGTAATAGGAATTGCAACAAAATTAATCATTATTTACTACATATTAATATCTATGATTTTTCAGTTCCCATAATAACGAGAAATTCTAAAAGTATGTTTATAAATAACTTTTTTGTAAGCATGTTATGATTGTGACTATCGTTATCTGATGTACAGCATGCCTGAGCGGTAAACACTAAACACATTTTATTGTTATTCATTATGATGTATAATTTATGATAAGATAGATATCATCAAATATTTACAGGTCTTTTTATAAGTACCAACATTAAAATAATTTATCAACGTATTACATAAAATCTTTACATTTCAAGTTTTCTTATCTTAAATATTATTACTTTTAATATATTTATTTTATGGATAAATCATCAATAAATATTAAAAGATTTTTAACTGTTAGCATTATTATTAATTATTCTAAAATGTTTTAATATTCACAGATTATTATAAAGTAAAGCACATATTTATAATTATTGTATATCTATGAGGTAAAGTAATCAGATTAAAATCTTATTAAAGTGAAACAGACCTTTCAATGTACTATCTAATGAAACCACCGACCACAAATCTCTAACCTTAAAAATATATAGAAGTGTATATTTAAAAATTTAAATACTGAATAATGATATAATAAGTTTTAATTCACAAATCAATGTTTAAACAATAAAAAAACATGAAAATGATTTTTGAAACAGAGTAGTCGTGAGGGTGATGAGTACAGTTTTAATAAATTAGTTCTAAGTACACTTAAGTAATGGTAGGATATCTGGTTGAAAATTGGTATTAACCGCCATAATTGACACTAATTAACACTAGTTATATTTTTAAAAGAATTGAAACAGAACCAAATATTTCTCACATTAGTATAATATCAAACTTGAAACTAATATTTTATTTTTTAAAAACCAAAAATAAACCGATACCTAAATTTTAATAACAAAAACCGAAATTTTAGTTTTTTTTTAAAAACCGAAAATAAACCGAAACCCACATTTTATTTATTTTAGAATTGTCATCAAAACCGAAACCTATTTTTTTTTTCTAGGAACCGTACCGGAACTGGAACCGTAAAATTCATCAAGGTTTCGGTCCCTGGTTAGTTGTGCTTTTTTGTGCAACACCAGCTTTGTAATAAAATATGCTCTTTAAATCGGATGTTTTCCAGGTAGAAAAATGAAAAATGTGCTCTTTTTGTCTGAGCTGGTAGTTATATTAAAATTAAAAACGCATTTCAACCATATTAATCTACTAATCGTAAATACTCTTGAGATATCGTAGATACATTTTTGCAGTAACCCCGACAAGCAAAGCTTGTGTATTGGGAGCAGTGTTATTCAAATAAAATTAATTGAAGTACATATAACTGTATATAATTAAATGTATTAGAAATAATTATATTCAATTTCGAATAACCATTCGGTATCAAGAGATATGGTTGAAATAGAGACAAAGGGATCAAAACAAAATATTAAATCATAATAATATCGAAAAAATGGGGTTTAGTAAGTTCTCACACGAAACATAGCAGATAAGCGAGTACATATGTAAGTTCCTTCACGAAAAAACATACACCCGTACGTAAGTTCCCATACGAAAAAAAATTATACCGAACACAAGCTTCCATTTAATTTAATCTAGTTCATATATTATATATGGTATAAAATAAATAATAATAGAAAAAAATACTGTGTTATTATTTTTATGTTTAGTTAAGAAATAAAATCGAAGGTAAATTATCCGTCAGTTAATAATTTATGTGAAGCTCAACGAAAAATATACCAATATGTAGGTAGTTTCCCACGTGGCGATAAAATTTAATGCATTACATTCTATCTAGAATTATCTTTATTAGATACATATTGGCATATAGTATGGACAGTTCATTTTATTGATTGCAGTACTCATCCATTACTAACAGAGTTAACATTTAAACAGTTTATATAAAAAATTTTCAATTTATAAAAATAGACGTAATTATTTCTTACATGTTTAATGATAAGGTTTAATCAAACGTGTAAAATTCAGAAAGATATGTATTTAACTTTGTCGCCACGTATGAAACGTTATACGTGTTTGTATTTTTGTCTGTTGCGTGTAACCGCTTACCCGGGTTTAAAGTGGCAAAAATGGGCAGGGGCGACTTTAATCCTCTCTCAAATTTCAATCATTCTCAGCAGTCTATAAAGTGATTACTAGGTTATAAATTATAAATAGATATATATATTATATATATATATAACTAGCTGAACCCATGTACTTCGTAGCCCATATATAGAATTCGCCCGTGTGCAGTTAATGCTTTCTCTAAATGCAATTCTTAAATCAGATGTTTATTATTTACCTTCTTTCTTTTTTCGATTTTAGCAACAAACGAATATAATACTATAAACGACGTACATTTTCAAACGAAAATAATAGCACGTAGGTTGTACAGTTAAAATTAGTTTTATAATAACTAATAGCCGACTCCTGTGCGCTTCGCAGCACCAACACAAAAATGCAATAAAAATCATTTCTTTTTTCTAAATTCTTTATTATTAATCCAACACATTTGTGTAAACAATATTCTTTGTTTGTCCATTTGGGGCATACACAAATAAACAATTTGGAGTACCAACTCTTGAACAGGCCACGTATAATTGCCCGTGCGAAAAACACGGTTCCTCCAAATCCAAACCGCATACTTGGAGCGTTTGTCCTTGTGCCTTATTGATGGACATAGCGAATGATAGGCGCACGGGGAATTGCAACCGTTTGAATTCAAATGGCATATCTGTTGGTATCAGAGGAATACGTGGGATGAGTACAAATCCCCCCTTCGCTTTGCCAGTCAATATTGTGGCTTCGATTAAATTCGGCATCAATCTTTTTACAGCTAATCTTGTGCCATTGCACAGTTATGGTGCAGTCAAATTCCGTAGTAAAATAATTGATGAGCCGACCTTCAAATTCAAGAAATGCGGCGGTATACCGGGTGGTTCTAACGAATTCAAAAATTCAACTGGATAGTTGACTGCATCATCTTCATTCAATGCGCTATCAATAGATTTGTATGATATAACTGCACCAGGCAATTTTTCTTGGATGAGATAATTGATAGCATTGACTTGCACATTTTTTGGTGCCAGAATTGCGCATTCACTCAACCAATTGTGATTCCTGTGATTCTGGATAATATTTGGAAACACTCGTTCAATCAATTCTTCTTTTGATTGGAGAATTGTACAAAAATTGTTTGGCAAACTAATTAAATCGTTTGTGTTATCGATTTGAACTTTGCCATTTCTGATTTCCAACAATTGCTTCGAAAACCGATCTGCAGATTGATCATTCTGCAACTGAACACGCATATTTATGTTTAGCGTCAATTTTCGCACATATCTCCACATGAAAGAAGACTTTAGGCACGCATTGATCTCATCTGCCGGTGTTGAGCGTGGAATTACGGGAAGTTATTGCCTAAAATCACCTGACAATAATATCAACGCACCACCAAAAATGTTTTGATTGCCACGCAGATCTTGCATTGTGCGGTGTATTGCTTCAAGTGATTATTTGTGTGTCATTGTACATTCATCCAATAAAATAATTGCTGTTTGCTGCAAAACTTTCGCCATCGCAGAATTTCTTGATATATTGCACGTGGGATTCTCAATCACCTGTAATACATTACAAATAATTACATCTCAATTAATGCAAATGCATTTCAAGCCAATCGATCAATGAATATAAACAAACCTGCACATTTAATGGTAATTTTAATGCAGAGTGGGCTGTTCGTCCTCCATCCAACAGAGTAGCAGCTATTCCAGACGAAGCAAGTGCCAATGCAATTTTCTCTTGCACTCGAATGTTTTCCAAAATGAGTGATATTACAAATGTTTTACCCGTACTACCGGGCGCATCCAAAAAGTACAATCCACCGGCTTCATTTTGTACTGCTTGCATGATGGTATCGTACACATTTTTTTGTTGGTCATTTAATTTGAGAACATTTAAATTTACAAATGTTTGCAATTCATATCATACTGTTGTTCTCGTCGCAATTCTCGATCGAAAAAATCATGCATTGGACGATTGGGTGAAATCATACCTAATTGTTCCAATGCTTTATTAGCGATCGTAAAGCACATATCTTCAATCGCTATTAATGCCTCATTATACATTTCCAATTTTATGATCAAATCAGAGTTTCCTGTGTGATAGCGCATTCGAATCAAAAAGTCTTCTGTCATAAAATCTCGATATTTATTCCACAATTCAATCGGATTCGATGGGAAACATGTTGATATTATTATGGCATACAGCATACGTATTTGATGTGGAAATGAAACGATCGATGCATCTTGAAGTGATGAATCCCAACATGCATAATTTTCCAGTAAACCCAAATGCTCACATGCTTCACGATACGTAGCACATAAATGACCATTAACGGTTCGCAAATTTTCAAATGAACGCGGCCCCACAACATTCACTAACAACAGCCGTAAATAATAACATTCTACCATATTTGGATGAACTGTGTATAGTCTTCTCATAGTTTCTGCATAGAAAAGACCTGGATGGCCAACAACTGCTGTTCCATTTTTACGCCGTTGCCATGTTTTTTGTGCAGTCCAAGTGTAATAATGCGTTACATCTGAATACAGCAAAGTTCTGGCAAATTCATCACGTGCGCACAATTGAAAAAATGTGGCTAATGTTGTTGCTGGTGGACGTGCCACTCTCTCTTGAACATTTTCATTGGTAAAATATACACCTTGGCCATTTTTAAAATGAACTGCCAAATGAACAACAGCAGGAAACCGTTCATGCATCGGATATGAATAAATTCTCCAAAGAGCCTCATTAGTGCTGATGTAGCGGCCTATTTGATATTGAGCAATTTCATCATGACTATTGTCAGCAGCTACTCCGAAAACAGCCATATCACTGCCTTTGTTGACATACTTGCAAATGTATTTGATCGATTTGACCGAATTGCAATACTCAACGTTAATGCGTGCCTTAAATATTTTCGACAATAGTGGTGAGTATGGAACTACCAAACGATTATCAACTTCGATGTCTTGATTTTGCATTCTAATCGTTACCGTATGGCCATTATCTTCCGTAGACCGACGTCGGTACAACGGTACCAAATACTCACAATTTGATAATCAAATCAATCAGCGCTTTCAATTTCTGTCGAAATACACGTGCTGTTATATCGTGGCGGTATGTTGGTGTCTGACCTTCAAACAAATTGGTTTTTATGTCATCCCACTGTGGATTGCATGTGAATGTTATGAAGAGGTCAGGGCGGCCGTATTTGCGAACGTACGACATTGCATCTTGTGTATATTGATGCATGTGACGCGGACTGCCAATATAAGTCGCTGGTAATATTGTTAAACGTTCAATATTATTGAAATCGCCATCATTCACTATTGCATCTTGTAAGTGTATGTACTCTTCCGATCGCAATGCCGCTTGATTGAATCTAAGGTAATTGAGACGTTCTGATTCAATCTTCGCATACATGTCCACAGCATATTGATGGAATAGTTTGCCACGCCTCAAAATGAAGTTGTCTTCTTGTAGACAAACCATGAATCTGTATGAGTAATAGTTCATCGCACTAACTGTCTTGCCTGGTATGTCGCGACCTGTAATAAATACAATGATAGAAAATTTAAATGTCTGATTGTTTTAAAATGAATACATTTTCAATTCATATGAATATGTTACCGGTTCGTGGATCTATCATTGGTATATTGATATGATAGCCGTCGTCACCTTTCCAGTGCAATAATGGATACTGTAATGCATCATAGCTGCGATGAAGCTGTGATACACGCTGCAATTGCTCATTTCTTCGGTTTAGCACAATATCGCGAGATAGAAACTGCTCTCCAACAATTACAATGGCCACTTCATCAATGGTTGGTGCATTGAAGCGTCTTGCATGCTCTCCAAAAGGCGTCTTGTCGGCTCTTATTACTATCTTATGATTATCGGATGGCATAAGATCAAGAGCGGTTTTGAACAATTGAACTAATTCATTGTGTTGATGGAAAAAAATTTGCAGGTCCAAAATAATTTGACGCTTTGCACTTGGAGCAATTGCACAACGCCGATTCAATTCATCATTGCTATTCCCAACAAAATAAATTTGCAAAAATTGAGGTTCAGTGTCAGGGAATGGCAATAATGAACCAGCTCTATGATAAATCTGGCCTTGAATCTGTAACATATGAGAAATACAATTTGATATTGGATCAGAATTCGTGAAAATATCAAAATAATTGCTGGTCAGGTTGCATTTTTCGAAATATATTTCGTATGAAATAATTACCTTAAACGTCGGCATAAAAGTGTCTCTTATAACTTTTGTCGCACCAAAAGAAGTCATTTGAAATGGCGTATTATATTCTTGAATGTGGGACAAAAAATGCTTGGCCGTTGGTGATGTTCCAAAAATTAATGAGTGCAGTGGATTAGGTGGAGATTCGAATGCTGGCAATTTCACTTTGCCATTAGTACAACACATGCCAGCTGTTTCACCTGGAAATTTGGCTGCAGCACAATGTATACATCTCACCGTCATTCCACCAATAAGACCATGTTCACTGTAATCCATTTCACTGCTGTAATGAAATGCAGCAAATTCCATGGCTTGTGCACGACGCGAAATTCGTGACGTTCGTCTTGATGCTGGATTTACTGACGGACCTGCAGATGTAGTTCGATGTTCATTTCGTAAATGTTGAACAGCATTTCGTTGTTATTGCTGGAAAAACCCTAAAAATAGCCCTTTTTGACCCGGTCGATAACTGCACAATTGAAAATGAATTATTAAATAAAACTATTAAAAAACTATTAAAAAACTATAAAAAAAACTATTTAAAAACTATTAATTTTATTTTTGGTAGTAAATGACGGTTATTGCATAAATATTAAACAAAAAAAGATCCCGCAACAGGTGTCAAAACAAATAAGAATGTTAGTTCGAAAAATTATTATGCATATCGGTTGATGATTAAACGAGATCAAGACAAAATTATTCTACGATATCATGAGCTTCGTCAACAATTCATGGTCGAAATGTATGTAAAGACAGAGAGCGAACGATTTTGATACTTGCGATTTAATCAAAAAAAGCTGCGTGCAGAAGATTCTCAAAACAATTGTTAGATATTGTGGAGATGGGAAAGTTACTACAGATAAAACGGAATGTATAAAATTACCGACCGATTTCTGCACAATCATTTATTCGCAAGATGCTCTCATTGACTAGATATTTTCCAATGTACACAGACAATACATAAATCATGAGTGGCTGGCAGAAAGGGCAATTTTAGTAGTAAAAAATGTGGACGTCAACGAATTGAGTCTCAAGATAAACATTTATTACCAGGAGACATGGTGTCATACAAATCTATAGATATAGTTTGCTATGCTACTGAAGCTGTAAATTATCTAACAGAGTTTTTAAACTCATTGGACTTGCCAGGCATGCCACCGCATAATTTACAATTGAAGGTTTGTTCTTAGGTTATTTTGCTTCATAATTTGACCTACCACGGTTGTACAACGACACGCGATAAGTTGTTAAAAAATTAATGAAAAATGTTATCGAAGCCATAATTTTAAATGGCAAATTCCGAGGTGAAAATATATTATTACCGCGAATCTCTATTATACCCACAGATGTGCCAATACAATTTAAACGCTTTAAATTTCCAATTAGATTGGCATTTGCAATGACTATCAATAAGTTTCAAAGCCAAACAATGTCTGTAGCTTAGATTTGAGCACATCATATTTTTCACACGGATAATTATACGTGGTGTGCTCTCGAGCCATCCAGTTTGTGTTTGCGAAAGATGGGATTACAAAAAATATTGTACACTCTGTTGCATTAAGGGATAGATATTGTTTTTTACTTATATTGTCATAATTAGCGATATATATTATTTTAATGGATCAATTTTAATAAATTATTAAAAAAATAAATGTTTGATGTTTTTTCATTTTTATATTTCGTTACCATTCATAGCACGCCATATATCTTCCTTACATTCTTATCCTTACCCACATTCTTACATGCCTATATTTAATTAGTTATTTTTTTCTAGCAAAATATTCTCTAGAAATAATTTATATGACAAAACAACGTTTGTCGGGTCAGCTAGTTTTTAATAATAGTCAGTTTTGTTTGTAGAACACTAACACATATCGACATAAACTAAACTGAAAAGCTAATTTTTCATTTTTTCTATTGTTCATGATCACTTTTAACAAACAGTTGAGAATTTTAGTAAAACTTTCGGAGAAAAATTGAAGGGGACGCTTTGTAAACGCTATGAGAGGTAGGTCTTGCGTCCCCCCCTCCACGTTGAGCCCGGGAACTCAACCCCTCCGCGCTCGGAAAAAAATAAGAAAATTAAAAAAATCGATCGCGTTTACGCGGCACGTCGTAAATACGTCGCACGTACGTGCAGTTGTCCCGTCGTCCCACTTTGTACTCTCGGTCTCAAACAAATAACAAATGATTGTAATTTGCAAATCCACGGAGAACTCGGAAAAATCGAAGGCCCCACTTTGATTGCCGATCCCCCCCCCCACCAGACCAACTTCACTTACGTCCGAGACGGTGGAAAAAACGCCCACGATCATCACGACGGCGAGGCGACCCGCGGACGAAATCCACTACGCATGTCGCACGTACATACGCGCACGCCGCTGCGGACGGGACGCGGTGGTTCGGTCGGCGTTCTCGTACGTTGTTGTGTCGCGCGTGCGCGCGTGCTCGCGTTGATGTTTTAACCGGAGAAGAGGACGCGGTGGCGGCGGCTGTTGGCAGCGGTCTACCTCCGCCGCCGCCGCCGCCGCCGTCTTCCCCACCACGGCCGGCGGTCTACAAAGACGGAATCGGTCCGGCAAAGCGGTTTCCCCCGCCGCCTCCGCGGCCGTTTGCCGGTCCACGTCGCGGTCCGTACCTGTTGTTCACTCCGTCCGTCATCGCGACGCTGTACAGTTCGCGCGCGTGTCTCCGTCCCGCCGTCCGGTGCAGTCGTCCCCTCGATTGTCCGCCCTTTCCTTGGCACCGTCCCGTCACCGGGTGCCCCTTGCGATTCTACGCGACCCACTCGCCCCGCCGACCGCGGTCACCATAATCGTAGCGATTTCTCCGCGCCGGCGACAAGTGCTCGGCCATCGCCGCCCGACCATCTGTCGCGGAAGACCATGGAGAACTCGACCCGGTGACTCGCCGCCGCCGCCGCCGCCGCCATGAACTCTGCGCAGAATCGGGACGCCGTGATCGCGGGTAAGTGCCCGACCGGGACATTTTTTTTACGGTGGGAATGGGTTGGGGGTGGCTAACGTACACGCGAAAACCGCGATCGTCTCTCGAAAAAATGTTGTCGTTTTTATTTAATTTTTTTTTTTTTTTTTTCAAAACGAATAAACCTTTGACTTCCTCCAACGTCGATCGCACACCGTTATGACCCCGTTTAACGCCAACGGTTCTTCTCAAAACCGTGTGCGGTGCGAAATATATCCGCGGAACGCGCGCCCGCATCGGTGCCGCCGCCGGTTCTGCCGGCAATAAACGGTATTGTCGATTACCGATGCGGCGAACGATATACGCGGTCGTTAATCGCGTCGAACCGCGTCTAGATTTACAGCGAGTAAAATACGTATGCCGCTGCGAACGGAAACGACCGCGCGTAACGTTCGGGTGCCGTCTCACCGACCGGATGGTGTAGGCAAAACCGGTGTCGTGCGCGAACCGTGTTAGGTCTTCGTTACACTTACCTGGCAGTATTATGCACTATTCGTATTGTGTTTTATAAAAAGTGTACGCAACAGGATACACACTACGACGGGTAGGTGTGCGCCGCGTGTGGGATTCATGTGTGTGTGGTTGGCACCGGCGACGGCGACCGCTGTCTCGCCCGGTATTAATATTTTATCGCCACGCTTTCCTGGAAACGCCAGGACTCTTGTACACGTATATTGTTGCGCGCACCACCGTGTCCGTCTCTCCCCGACGTCTTCGTTTCACCCTCCTCACGTCACCGCCACCGGCGTGTTGTTACCGGTTCGCCGACGACCCCTCGCACGAATCATTTATTTTCTTGTATTCTTATTTTATTATTTTTTTTTTTTTTTTTTTTTTTTAAATTTGTTTCTTCCACCCTCTTCTCACTTGTACCTCTACCATAGTGTAGGTACATCGTACACGAATTTTATACCGACTACCTGTCCAATGGTCGAATCGATTTCTCTAGAAAAAAATACGCCCGTTGAAATCGGCATTCGTTCCCTTTCCTCCGAACCTTTTTACCCCGTGATCTTATATCTGGGTATCATCATCATCATTGTGGAGGAATTATGACTGCGGAATGCCGTCTGCTTCTTCCTCTTTTTTTCCACCCTCCGATTAACCGTTCAAATGTTATTGTTATTATTGTTGCCGAAAACCCTCCACGTTCACAACCGCAGTGTTATTATTATTGTTATTACTATTATTCGCGCTCGCGCGTGTACCGGTTGTACACGCGTTGTCGTCTGCTTTTTCGATTTTCCAACGAGAACGGCGATCGTAATATTATCATATTTTCGTTGCGCGCTCTTTGTCTGCAGTCCCGAAATGGAATTGGTTTCGAACATTTTTACATTTTACTTTTTAGAAACTCGTACGGATCGTGCAAACAAAGCTCCCGTGAACAAGTTTTGATATCCCACGGACCGGTCGCGTGTTATTATAATTTCGGACTGTAAAAAGTTTCTCTCACGATGTTTGCACCGAATCAATTGGATTGTTGGACGTAATGAACAAACGCCGAAACACACAATAAGGGCCGCGTGCGAGTAGATTCCCCGATTATAAACACGGCATCCGCGCACGTCGTCTCATCGAGTGCCTTACAATATTATTATGTACCGTAATATTTATAAGACTATTATTTTCGACTGTCAAGGCAACGCCGTTGTCCAAGGAGAGATACTTTCTCGATTTGTAGAATTACTCTTGTCTCTACTATTGTACGGAACACGCCGGATTAGTAGTGTGCATAGATAATTCGAAAACACTTGTTTTGGAAATCAAACGCTACATAACAAAAAAACAACAAACGTTACCTTCGCCCTTGATGCGGATATCATGTGAATGTGTATATACGAATACAATGTTACAACACGAGCGGTTCGTACAAACATTAAAAATGCGCCGCAAAAGAATAAGAAAAAAATACTACTATCGTCGTCATGAACGTGATATTGAACATACGACATAACATACGTATATTAGTACGTAAACCGTAATTGTCGTTATCTCCGCCGCGGCACTGATGCTTTGAAGGTGAACGCATTTCGAGTTACGATTGAAAGTGTTACTATTATTATATATTACTTATATATATTTCAAGTTCAGTAAAATATTATATCATCGATTACTACTATTTATCCATTCGACTGGGTTCAAGCCGAATTGTTTTTTTGGCACACAGTGTTATATTTACTAAGAAGACTCACCACATCTGGGTGTGTTGTCTCCGTTTTACATTTCAACACAGTAAATCCTTGTTCAGTCAAACAAATTCTGTGTTACCTATTATCTAACTAAAAAATATAAGAACATTATCTTTATGATAATTGTTTTTTTTACGATGATTTCCAAGAGAGTTTTGAACCTTTTTTTTTTTAACTATAATATTTTACACAATCATAACTCGCATATAAATTAAAATATCGTTAAAAACCTATCATCGAATCGACAATGTTTTTCCTTTAAGTTTGATAATAGATTAGTTTACTCAAATTCTATACCCAATAATACAAAATTGGTTCTACTGAACAAAAATTTGTAATGTTGTATATTAGTGAGACGGAGACAACACACGTGGTTGTGTCGTGTTCTTAATCGCTGTAAATACGAATTTTGAATTCGTATAGGAACATTTTAAATAATGAAAACGACTTTTCGGTATATTCGCTATTTTTTATGTCCTGATAATTTGTCAATCTTTCCGATGGTATTAGTTTACCTATTATATAAACAATTAATAAGTTGCATTATTATATTTCTGCCTAAGCAGAAAAACCACAATACTTTTTGAAATTTAAGACTAAAATTATATTCAACAATTGATTATATGTGTTTCTTATTTAAAAACTATTAATATTTTATTTAATACAGCTCAACATTTATTTGGTCGCCTTTGTTTGTAAAAATACGTTATTACTATATTTAGTGTATAAACTGTCAAATGTAGTTAAATACAAGTTATCTAAATCAGATTTATACAAGACAAAACTTTCGAAAGTCTTGGCGTTTTACTACCTTTTTTGTAATGTTCTCTTTTCACTTAGATATTTTGTTAAATAAACATAACTATAATGAGAGAACATTAGCGTACTAGTATACAACATTATATGAAGTCTATGTACCATAAGGATATAATTGCATATATTTCTTTGGAAAGCAAAACATATCTATAGTAAATATCAAAATTGGTTCGTTTTGTTAGAAATATAATAAAAAATACATTTAAAGACAGTCGGGCATAAGAGTTTTTTTCTATAACTCCGGAAGGTAAATTAAAATAATATACATATACTCTTTTAAAATAATCTGCGCCAAACAAAAAACAAAATCTTTTCGGAAAATAATTATTTATTTTATGTTTTACACGTACTGTATTTGTACAATTGTAGTTTAGCTGTTTAATATTTGTGAAAAATATTAAGAGAAAAAAATCATGATAACTTTTAGAATCTTAACACAAAATACTCGTCGACAGCTAATTGTTAGAGCAAATGTGCCATGCCATATGGAGAGCGACTCGACATTGATGCTCATCAACATGGCGCGCATTTATTTACGCATTATTATGTCCAGAAAATAACGTCCAAATTCTTACTAGTACCTACCGTAAATTATTATAATATTCTACGCTGATTTTGCCACTTTAATACTCATTAAATAGGCGTAAGTAAACAGTTGTAGTTGTGGGTACAATGTCCTCTTAAAAATGTTTATTATCTTTCATTAGATACTTGAAGGCAGGTTTACTAATGAATTGTACAACTGAGTACAGTTTTCAAAGTATTCCATATCATAAGTCAATTATTATCATATGTATATAGTTGCCAATAAAAAAGTAAATAAAAACAGAAACATATTTGATCAGCAGAAACTGCAGTGAAATATAAATAAATGTAAATAATGTTTTATGCACATTGACATTTTTATACTATTGATGAGTGAGATTATGTTATCAAGTTAACAAATTTGGTAGCATTGACATTTGATATAGGACGTAACAATTGCATTTGCATGATTGGTTTCGGAGAACAACTTGTTTTTTCAAAACAATGACATTTTGCGGTGATACATGTGACAGTGTAATATAAATCAAAATAATAATAATATTAACTGTTCTACAATGAAAATATGTGTAGGTAACTTATTTTTTTCTGCGGTATCCATTAGGAGTTAATAGACAAATAAAATAATAATATCAAATAAATATACCTCTACGCTGATAAACGTTACAGTTCTCATATTAAACCTATAACGTAGTCTCCCTATCTTATGTGATGTGACGTTTTATGGATATATATGCGCGTTTTGAAAAATCCGTAATTGTTTCTCATGTATGGAAAATAAATAAGCATCTAGGTCAAACTGGATATTGCTTTTTGTGCCATTTTGATGTACGCGTATGCACTAGTGATGGACACTATCGAATAGTATTATCGAACTATTCGATAGTCCAGCACATTCGAATTATTCCATAGTTTTCCAAAATATTCGATTGTTCCGAATTATTCGAAACTATTCGGACTATTCAATAGTTTCGAATTATTCAATAGTTTCGAATTATTCAATATTATTCAATAGTTCAAATTATTCGAAACTATTCGGACAATTCGAATTTAATTTCAAATTTTTCAATTATTCGATAGTTTACGACTTCTGAATTATTCAGTAAAATTTGAAATTAGCTTAGCTTAAATAATGTTTTATATTGAGATACCTAATCACTAATGTGATAACTGATTACCGATAAGAATAACAATTAACAAAAAACGTTAACGTTAACGTTTTGATTTTTTATACGATATATTCGAATAGTTTTTCATGGATTTGGTCACACAAAATAATATTTGACTATAATATTTGATAGTTTATGCTTACTATCTAATACTTTTCGATAGTGCCCATCAACTAGTATGCACAATACTGCAGTTGAACGTCGTCGTCGTGCCAGCGTTCGTCTTCTTTATTTTGCGCACATGTGATACGGTGTATTCGGATAAAGGTACCGAAACGGTTTTGGAATTTTTAATGTATATATAAATTTACCTGTAATAATTTACCAATATACCATACGTAATACAATTGTTAAAGGACAAGACCGTAGTCCAAATTCTTTTGCCGGTTTTTTCGATACATAAAACATGTTTAAAAATGATTGTTCACTCACACTTTTAAAATGTTTCGGCAAATCTCTCCTATCACATTAAGGTCACCGTTTTAAATTAGAATGCCCATGTTTTTCATTTTACAATCTTATAGTATTTGCATTTATAATTTAATTCGATGTTGTTATTCTTGTCCAATTAATCTGTTGTTGACGTTTTTTAATTACATGTTTATGTAAAAAACAACCAAAACATATATTATTTATATATATATATCTACAATTTACCAATGGATAAAAATAGTTGTTGATTTTTTTTTCGTGTTTACATAACATGTTTGCTTCGTGCACACGATTTTTCTGCAGATCGATGATATAATAAAAGTAATTATGCACAATGGGTATACGTTTTATTATGGTGTGTATAGTGTTTTAGTATTTTTTGCGTTGACGTGTAAACTCTGGTACAATAAATCACGGCTCAATAATTATACGTTTGCGGTAGTCAAATCAAATTATAAATTCGAACAGTATTGTGTTCGATATAATTATTCATTACCATGGCGTCCTTCAGTAACACTTCCACTTAACGAATGATTTATGAAAAAATTATTTATCCAACACACTCAACCCAATACATGTTTTTTTTAAAATTTGCAAATTTTTTCCGCATTATTTGTAATTAATTAAATATATGATAATTAACTTTTTTCAACAATTACCTATATAAGCTTTTACAGCAGTATAATCATTATCTTTGATCTAATCTTATTTGATACGTTTCATCTAAGTACTAAAGGTCGTTTGTCGTTATAATTAAACGGGATGTTTATCCTTTACAGACCTGATTTAATACTTTTTTGTTGTCATATTTATTACAAGAAATTTAATTTAGTAAGAAGACGATAAAATAGAACAATAACAAATTATAATTGAATCGTGTAAAAACAGTTTGACGCATTATTAATTTGTTTTTAACAATAATTAGGTATTACAAATAGAAACAACAATTCTATCATAATTGCATAATTAATTATTGTCACTTATTGCATTTATGACTGTTTAGTAAAATAAATAATTTATACTTTTTGACCATATGTATTTGTTAACAATAACATAAAACAGAATGAGTTATATAGTCATAAATAAAAAATGTTTTAGGTATGAAGGTACAACAAAAAATAATTTTTAATCTTATGAATATAAATAATGAAGACACAGGCTTAGATACAAATCTTTCTAGATGTGGATAGTTAGTTCGAAAAAATATTAGTATGTTTATACTTAACCATGACATACAAGTAGTTCCAAAAAAAATATAACATGAATAATGAAAGTTTAGTTACTTTTACTAGAATTAAAAGTAAATAAATTAGTTCTCTGATACTTCTAGATATTTATTTAAATTTATTTTTAACATATTTTTTAAAATAAAAAATATTTGAAGAGAAAATCATTTATTTTCAGAAATTTGCATTTTAAGATTCAAACCAATGGTTTAAATATATAAATATATAGCAATACGCTTTAGTTTAAATTTACATCGTTTAGTATTTATGTTGTACACTTTTCCTGGCCACGTTATTTCAACTCAATAATGTTATGAAGTGCATATTTTGAACAAAATTCGAGTTTAATATTATATACATTGTACGTTTATTATATAATTACTGAACGCTGTTTGTATTTATAATCAACACTTCTAAAATGTCTAGCTAGCTGAAACTAATATTGCTAGATGAATACACATCGGAAATGGGTGCCGTGTATAATCTTTCTCGTTGTAATCGAAAAAATAAAAACCTGTAAAGTAACACGCAAAAACAATGTTCTATATTTTTTTCAGCGTACATATCTACCTAATATTTTTTTCATCTATTAGATTTTAGTTCGACACCAGTTCATCTATACAATTATATGTTATTACAAGGACTTTCACAATAATGTGCACCGACTTTCCTACTTAATTGTTTTAACAATTTATTATGACAATTTAAGGAATGACAAACTATTATTGAAAATATGCATTATATATAAAGATGGATAATTTGATGATCCCGCATGAAATTTATTTAGTTCCACGAACATTTTTAATTCCGAAGAAATAAATTAAAATGGGAAAATTACACTTTCTTATAAATATAAAAACAGTTGATCCATATCAAATGATACTATTTAAGTAGATTTGAGTTAATTATAGTTATTTTTTTTAATTTATTATTATACTAATATGTTTTCCATTAAACAATGTTTATCATGTTACCTATTGCAGCTAAATACTTATAACTACATAATACCATAATGAACAATAATCTGAATATGTCAATTGATAACAACTATCTACGTTTTTAAAACATTAATTTCGTAATATTTTTTCTTTTTTAGAAATCTAAAATACATATGTAGTTTATAAGTTGTAAAATCCAAAATATTGAATGTTTATTCAATCATAATTTTTTTAATCCATTAATAATTAGCTTACATTTTTTTTACAACTGTAAAAATATGTAGAAAATCAAAATTGAAAAATTGTTGATTATTTGAAATACGAGTATGTTAGATACGATATTTTATAGAATACCAAGAAAATTAATTATTTTTATGCATAACGAACAAAATAAATGTTATACTTATTTTAAAACCAATATTTGTTTTTCGCTTCACTTAAACATGACTGAGCAAATATTTATTAACAATAGTACAATAATTGCACTATGTAATTATTACAGTCAACTTTCGATAGTAAACTATTGAATACTAAAATTATTATTTTTACGTTTTCTTTTAAATTCCAACCATCTAGAACCTTATACAGAGTAAAAATTGAATATATTTAGTAAAACATTTAATTAAATATGTTCGATTATTATAAATATTGTAATATATACATATGTTAATCTGGTGCTTAAATTATAATTTACGATTACCTTAACTGTAAAATGTAATTTGTTGTTGGTTATAATTATTACGTTTTACGATTTATTATAAAATTATATTGAACGAACGTCGTTAAATTGTGTAGGCTATTTACAATAAATGTAAAGCTTCAATTTGACTGTAACCGTAAAATTACATAAATTGTTCGTAACTTTAAATCGACAGTTTGAAATAAAATCTGTCTTGAGTTTATTAAATAGCATTGATAAAAAAAACTAGTTACACTTATCTGTGTGATTTACATGAGATTACAGTACGATAATAATTCTGTCGAAAATTGAATTTTATTTATTAATATGTATTTTTTAATTTGTATAATGATACTATAGAATTCTATAAATGTTTAATGTAATTATATGTAAGTATTAAAAATGAATTGTAATTTTTTTTTAACTTTATTTTCATTATTTGTACTTAGTATTTGAATTTAGAGATTTGTGTACGGATTACCTATAACGATACAAAATTAACATTAAACCATTTCGTTTAACCATAACTATCAACGAACACCGGTTAGACCAGTGTTGAAGAAAATCGATAAAGTCTTGTCTCAAGATGGCCTGCAATAACTATTATACATTATCTTGGGAGACTTCATTGTCAAATAAATTCGATTATGGCTGTCCTTGACTCTTAATATAACTGGTAAAGAAAGTCTTCTTGTTCTTGCTATATAATATATGTCGCTTCTCATATAAAGCTAAAATAAAATACTAGTACTATGTTACGGTTTAAAAATACTTAATATTATAGATTTACTTTCTCATATCAATTGAATACCTTTGAACACTCGTGTTATAACTATAAATAGACACACTACATTCATAGTTTATAGCAATTAAAAGCAAATGGATATTCTTAAGTTGTATGAATATTTAACCAATTGAACACTTTCAATTGCCTTTTTGCAAGACTTCGCATTCAGTGATCAATAACATTATATTGAATACATATAAACGATACCTATTCGACAATGAGAAATCTATAAGCAAATAAAATTGCTTTGATGTTCTATGTGTATTAATCTTTATAATTTTGAATCTAATCGATTAAAATTTATTTGAAATCCTAGATTTATTTGCAACTATTTATTCTGGCTGTCACAGCCAACGCTGTGTTGTAATATTTAAACATCTACTAGTCGTTGTTTTAACAATGTAACAATATTTATTACCATCAGAACTTAGACATGTAAATTTAAACGACGAAGGTCTATTTGTTTAAATTCAATATTGCATATTATACTGAATTAACCTACCCATATCATTACACAGAATGTTACATGTGAGTGAAAAATTCGAATTTGTCAAAAAAATAAGTAACCGTCAGTTAGTTTGACTTAAGATAACTAAACTACTATAAGAAGTAACTGCTATTAAGTGCGCTATTCAATATAAACTGGTACACATGCACAGTACGCACTAAACAGATGCAATGCTCACACAAATAAATGTTTGGAAAAAGTTTGTACAATTTGATAATTTAAAGGTTTTTGTAGATTATTATTATCACTTGATTGTAGGTCGATAGAATAGGTTAGAATATTGTTAACACGGCCATAATGTAACATCGTACAGGAATTTGACGACGACGATGACATGAATACCAGTTCTACGCTGGTGTACAACACACACATTCCGTATGTCTTAGCGTCGATCCGTTTTGAAGTTGAAGTGCCCAGCAATCCATGACCATTATTATTGTTACTCTCTCTCCCGTCGAGTCATCTCGGCGCTCGTTCTCATCTCTATTCCTTTTTTTTTCAACCGGTTTTAATTGTTTTTGCTACCCACACAGACGATACTTTTCAAATACAAGACTGGCTGCGGTCAAACGGCAACCATGATCGAGGCTATCCGGAGTTTGATTACCACCATAGGATCCGTCCTCTTTCACCAGTTAAGAGGTACCGGATATCCACCACCGACGGAAGGGTGCCGGATCGCCGAAGGCAGCTCAAGTCTATGGAGTCACTATTAGGACTAAGCGATGAAAACTTAAATGGCAAACATTTGGTACGTGACGTACAAAAGTACAATTTTTGTAATATTTGTATAACATGTATACAAATAAGATTTTAGAGTTAAGCAAATCCGCTACTACTGGGAGATTTCGCTAAAACATATAAAAATAATACCATAGTATTATATGTCGTTCAAAATACTAGAATTTTTTAAATCGTAAATTGGTTGATAAAAGTTTCATACACAAGATGTAGCCACACTCAACGTTTAATGATAATAAATATAACTATCATTTTAATGTGAATATAATGTGAATATATCAGATTTTCGGAATATTTTGTTATTTTATAATAAATTAAATATTTTACTGATTATTAATCCTTATTAAATATGCTAAGGTTTAAATAAAAGTTCAATTTCGTTTATTATAATAATAAAATTATAACATAAAGTAATTGTAATTTATTCGAGTAATTTTAAATTAAATTACATTTGTTGGATAATGTCATTAGGAGAAATAAGTATTTTTAATTTAAGAAACTTATTTGATTAAAAATATATAAAATATTGTAATTTTATTAATTCTCTTAAATAAATTATTGTATTATATTTGTATATTTAGCATTTTCCAAATTTTAATTAAAATCATTTCATTATATGTTATGCAATTAATTTGACTAACACTCGAAAATGAAGAAGTAAGTGGCATTTGTATATGTGACCTTTGATAAAATGTTCTTAAAAAATAAAATAATAAAATTAAATTACACAGTACAGTCAGCGTTGGGAATAGATAATGCAAAATTTATCTAGATAAAGATGAAAGATAATATTTCCAAATTCATCTAGATAAAGATAAATTCATTTTTATCTAGATAAAAAAAGATATTTTCAAGAAATGTTATTTTTTGATTAATATTTCATATTCTAATAATGTCTATGAAGACTCAATTATAATCATTATTATCATTATTAGTACCTAGGTGTTTAATGTTTATTGTAGTAATGTAGTGTACTATTAAACAGTATTAATATATAATATACAATATTTAAAGATAGTTAATCACTAAAATGTAACACAAAAAAAAAAAAAAAAAATGAAAATTGCTTTGTAGGTATAAGGATGAATACAGAATACTTAAAGTTAACAATATAGTTTTTCATATAATATTAATTTGATGATTTTCATTATTCTATAAGTAGTTACGACTTTACGGGTTCCAAGAATGAAGTAATGACAATTCAGCGTATGAGTGATATGAGTATACTAAAATCAAATACCTACTATATTTGGAACTTCCATGGAAAAATAAGAAATTAAGTTTAAAAATACCAAATATATTTTCCCAACATGAAAATACAAACAAAATGTCATACTAAGAAATAACAATTACTTCTTAATAATACACGAATTATTATTATGAAAACAAAATCTATATGTATAAAAGAAAGTCAGGTTAGTTACAGAATTTATAATTCATGAACGGCTGGACTGATTTTGATGATCTCTGATTTGTTGGATTCGTCTCCGTATAAGAATAAAAATAACTCTAATCTTGGCAAGAATACAGACAATTATTTAGATAAGTAAAAATTTTATCTTAGATAAGTAATTAGACAACTTAGCTTTATTTATCTAGATAAGATAAAAGATGACAAAAAAACTATCTAGATAAGTCCCAACACTGAGTATAGTTAATAAGTATAAAAATATTTTTCTAAATAATATTCGTCGAAGTATTTTATGTTTAGTATTTATAAACATATTTTACTGAAAATTAATTAAAAGTTTAATACTTTCCTATCGGAATTTTAAATTAGTTTAAGTTAATTTAAATTAATTTTATGAAATTTAGAAAGGTATTTGAGTACAAAAAGTTTCTATGGACACTCTGTGATCTTTTATTATCATAAAATAATCATTGCACTCCTTTTCGGGATTTTAATGTTTGTTATTTGAGTAAAATATGTTTATTTTCTTATTTGCATGATTATTCTGACTTTGTTTTAAAGACATGATTTAAATTAATAGTAATTTTATTCTTTACTTTAAATTAAAAATCTTATATTTATTTAATAAGCGTATGGGTTTCTTTGTTAATATTTTCCTTATCTACTATTTTTTCATGCAGTAATAAAATATATCATAAGAATAATTTTGTTTATGCTGAGTAACTATTTTTAATTTTCTTAATTTCATATACATTTTTTACCTTTTAGTTAGTGTTATTATACGATCATAATAATAATAAATATTAATTAGTTATAAAATATAATAGGTTTACAATGTATTGTGTAGTATTAATTTACCTCCTTTGTGTTAAGCCAACAATAAGTACGAATTTTATCTGATTTGTAAAAATTGAAATACTATTGACCTTCAGATTTGCATTTGATAAATCTATAATAATTTATTATTATTTTTTAAGAATTCCGAGGCTGTAACCAGAGCGTCTCCAGATGTGCAAGATTCTTTAGATAGAGCTTTAATGGACTTTGAAGAAACTCTAGAATTAGCATTTCAGTCAAACTCCATCGTTCCACCACCTAGAGGATTTTCTAATCATAACTTCAGTACGTAATATTAAACAATATCTCTGATGCAATTTGTTACTATAAAATGTAATTTTAGTTGAAGGTGATGAATCGAATTTCAATAAGTTGGACAGTAGTTTTGAAAGTAGTGTAACTGGCAGTAGTGGTTATTCTACAAAACCCGATCAGTCCATGCATCGATCCTTAAATACTTACAATGAACTCCAAGTAAATTGATTATTTATATTCTCGTACTATATTAATTATTTTAATTTTTTATTTTAACACTGCTTTGTTTTTATAGCTTATCAGAGAACAAATGATAAAAAGCTTAGAGATCATCAAAGATTTAGAAGAACAAGTGAAATTAGTGCCTTTGCTCAAGGTAATCATTTTAATTTAAAAGATAACTTTTATACCACTAGAATTGTTAATTCCAATTACCTGTATAAACAATCTGAATACATTTTATTCTTAATTTTAAAAGTAAGTAGATTACTTAGTAAATAAATTGATTGATGTTTTGTTGTGTATATCGGTATAAAAATAAATCTCCATATGAACATATGGATAACATTTTATTTGTAAAATATTTCTAGTATATAATATTTACATTTTACATTTATATAAAGTTTTTGAATACGAATCCACACTGTCAAATAAAAATATTTTAAATTAACATATTTTTAAAAAAAAAAATACTCCAATGTTTCATAACTAAACAGTGATTTAAGTAATTGGATACATTTATATGATACAAATTTATTTAAGTACAATTCTAACGTAAACCGTCTCAAGATTATATTTCAAACAAATAATAAAGTAAAAATAAAAAAAATAAAAAGTATTAATTATAAAGTATTATAACATGACTTTTCACTGGAAAGAATAAATCAAAAAATGTTTTTACTTAATAATGGTATTAATAAGATAAATACAATTTTATCCACATACTATATGCTAATCAGTATGAATTAATGAACGGAATATTTGGTATCTATTTAATTAATTAGAATCAATTTTAATACTTTAATTTTAATGTAAATCGGTGCATACTACGTATTCACGATAACTATTAAAAATAAAAAGATATTTTATGGCTTATTTTGATTTGTTTATTCTATAATATAGGCACAAGTTTCGTCATTGAATATTGAGAAACAGCAACTATCATCCGAATTGGACAAACACAAAAAAATGGAAAACATATATAAAAACACAACAGGTGAGTGATTTTAACAGCATACCTATCTTATATAAGCTACATATTTAAACAAATGGACTTGGTATAATTTTACAAGTTTTTTGCTCCCTAAAACTGCCAAATACGATTTAAATAACGTTTTAAATCTTAAAGGTCTGTAAGTTATGATAATGAAATATTATTGTCTGATGTAACCTACACAACATTTCTAATGCTAGGAAATCTATTTTTAATAATAAATATAGTATTTCGTATTATAATTATTCATTTAGGACTTAATTTATTTCATACCCACGTACATTTCTTTTAAAACTATGAACTCATTATAAGCCTGTTCGTGTATGATATTATTTAGTTAATATTTAGCCTTGAATATCTAGAATATCTCTTCAAATATAAACTATAAAATAACATCTTTAAATTTTAGGTGTGCATTTAAAATATTCTTCTTTATAAATCGAAATATATCTCGTTTTATTTGATTTATTGTGTCATATATAAACTGTTTGTTAATTTATTTATATACAAATTATACATTATGTAAAGTATCTTGATAACGGTAGGTAAAAAAAACCTTTATATTTTTAAATAATATACATTTTATAATTATAAAATATTTTATTGAAAGTTTAAAATATTTATTATAAAAAATGCTGCACCCTGTATATTAACTTGTATTTTAAGTTTTAAAAACTATAAGTCTTAATAAAATATTTTGCATCTAAAATAAATGTACTTTGAGAAAATTTACGATATGATAACATTGAAGATATAGCTAAAATTATTACAATGTTAATTTCTTGTTGAAATGTATGATATTTTATCTTCAACTATACGTAACATGATGTCTAAAAAAATTATCCTTAGATTTTATATAGTGTATATTTTAATTTTACACGAGTATAGCTTTCCATTATACTGTAATCATAAGTGTAAACAAACGTAATGTAATATGTAATTAAATAATTCACCAATACATATATATTATCTTTTTCATTATTTAATTTACACGAAGCTTGTAATTTTTTTTTACATATATATACATATATATATATATATATAAAACAAAGTTAATGATAAATCATGATAATGTTTCATTTGAGTTGGGAACAATAATTAAGAACTTTAAAAAAAACGGTCTCAATATCCGTATTGCGTTACATTTTTCATATAGTGTTGTGTACATATGTTACATGTACATAAAATATTATGACGAGTGTAAAAGCTTGTTACTCTCAGTTTCGTTATGTAAAACGAGTTTGTAAAGTGTATTTTACAGATGGAAATAATTTATTTTTAACGAACAATTATTAATTGTGTACCCTTAATATTTCGTTTTAACTATTTATAACAGACGACCGGACGGGTGTCAATCTAATTAGTTGTTTTCATAAACCGAAATTATTATTGTGTAAACAGTGGGAACAATAAAAAAACATCAATAATCCAATAGTTCATTGTTCACTAAGATATAATGACTTATAAACACGGGATAAAATATTAAGTGCCCACAGAGAACTTTTCGCGCTAATATTATAATATTACGTTCTTCTTATGTAGTAAGTAATGTACGTATCAATTATGTGTACTAAGTGATGCATTGTTTGATCTTTGGCGCGGAGAGTAATTCTATTATCAGAGTCTGTAGTTGTTTTACGAGCTGTAAGGTTCAAAAACAAAATTAAAATGATCTATGGTGCGTCAGACTAAAACCTATAAATTAATCGCATTATTAATATTTTTATCGTAAAACTGTAGTACAGCGTTTTTGAAAAATTACAATTTTTATATATATTTATATATGCTCACGCCCGTTTATTCAATAAATAAATAAATAAATAAATATATTTCACACAATATTCTTTGTGCGGTTCTTGATAACACATAACAAATAAAATCCATGTCAATTTTATTCCATAGAAGTAAAATATTTATTTTTTTTTTTCGTTACGATTCATTGGATATTATACCAAGCTCCGCACTCGAAGAAATAGTTACATTTTACCATACGTATTATAAGCCCAGAAATAATTTCAAGTCCAAGTAGATAATAACAAATATTTAATGCTTGGGTTGCAAACTTTAAAAAAATAGATGTTCATCTACGTATCTCCTTATGCAGGCATAATAGTTCAACCAATGATTTTAAAAATTTTAGTGTTTTAACTATAAAAATATATATTCTTATCTTAATCATTTTTAAAAAAAATATATTAAATAAATAAATAAATCGATTTGAATATTACCGAATATTTTTCATCAATACTTGCGTATTCTCTCTTCACACCGGGACACATCTAATTTGATTACAACAGTGGGACTAACTTTTCTTATTTTATATTGTTTATTCGGATTGATCGTATTGCATGTGTACGAATAATATTTCAATAATAGAGTACAGTTTTTACGTACTTAGTTTATTACCACGACGAAAATTATGCTATTGATAATTTATCGTATCCTCAGGTACGTTTATTTCATTTTCGGCGCGATTAGATAGTGCGGCAACCGAATATGGCCCGGAGAAAAACGTACGATATCTAACACGTATTAGCCAACGCCCACGCCACTGCACACCACTGCTGGGGCCGGATAAAACGTTTAAACGCATTACATTATTTAAAATAGTCTATTGAAACCCGGGCATCCGTTTCGAAACGATTAAAATGTACGGATAAACGGCCGAGACAAATTTAGTTTGGAAAAAAAATAACTCGTTTTCTACTACATTGTCCGGAATCGTCGAACGAAACGAGTAGCCGCCGAGTCGTAATAATGTGTGTTTCCGTCTTTTGCCGCAGGAACCGCCAGTGGCTGGTCCTCGTCAACGTTGAACAGGCGTGCCGCCACCGCCGCGTCGACCAAAGAGGTAGGCGTCAACTGCGTACCGGTGTGCCGGGACGTGGGAATTAGGACGCAGGCCACGGCGTCGTCGGTGTCCGTGAGCACGTCCACCTCGACCGAGCGGACGTCCGCCGAAGGGTTGCGGGAGACTGCGTGCACGGAAAGGTGTCGCCGACCGCCGTCGGTGGCCGCGTACACCCAGACTGCAGCCGTCGGCAGTCCGGCCACCTCGGCGGCGTCC